ATGTCGTCATCGTCTTGTTGCTCCCTCACCGTTCTGTGATTGATTCCTTAAATTAGGCGAAAATCTGGGCCATGGTATCCAGACTGCCTTTCAGCATGAATAAAACCGCGCTGTGGGAAGGCAGCATGGGGAAACCCAGACTAACTGTAGGAGCACATCTGGGGCCGGTTTCACGAAGATAGACTTTGACTATGGCTTAGATATAGAAGATAGTCAGACTTCAGATTGCCATCTAAATCCGACCATTGCACAATAAGCACTTAAGACTCTGACTATCGTAGGACTACACTGCAATGCATTCTGGATAAAATAAGACACTTTTCAGAACAAAAAAACATGGCGGATCGAGTAAGCGCATTCAACCGCTCAGTGCAGTTTACCTCAGTGGAAAATATGTGTTTGTTGGAGGAGTATAACAGCTACAAGGGCATTTTACTTTGGACATTTAGCGGAGAATGTAGAAACAAGAAGAAATGTTTCATTTAGACAAAGATTGGTACGACAGTTCACAGCGTTAATCCTAGCATTGAGAAAGATACAAAAAAAGATACAAAAACATGGTACAATATGCCAAAAAAGAAATATTTAAGAGGAAATATCCAAAATCAGGAGGAGGACCCCAAGAGAAACTTAAGTACATAAATATCTAAATGTATTTGTAGTATACATAAAAGAAATGTATTTTTTAAATACATTTTGCTATATTTATTTTTCACTAGGGCAAACTACTCTAAAGTTCCCTTTCGAAAGGAACTTCGAACGTCAAGCGCTATGGGGAAACACCTCAGCGTGACTGATGACTGAAACACTGTAGAATCACGACAATCCTATTGGCCGGCGTCAGCCATGACGTCATGCTCTAGCGCAACCAGGAAGTATAAGAGGAGCACCGAGACAACATGTCATCCTCTTTTCGTCTTCAGGGACTGTTTCACTGACTCTGTGAGTAAAACGAAACTATGGCAAACAAGGGAAGCGTGCCGACCCGTGCGAGGGGTTTCTCACACCTGGTGGCACTCGCTACATTTGTGGCTTTGTCTGGGTGAAGAGCACGCGCGCTCTGTTCTCGAGGGGATAGAGTGCGCCGATCGCGAGCATTTTTCTCAACGAGAGCGCTCCGTTCTCGTCGGCCTTTTTTCTCGAGGGAGGATTGACAGTTATCTTTCTTCGCGGTCCCGCTCATGCCAAGGCCGAGAGGAGATTAAGATTGCGGGGATCTCAGAGGGAGCTCGTTGACGAGTTTGAGAGAGGAGTGAATCTCTCAGAATCGTCGACAGGTGACGAGAACGGACTGTTGGGCGGGGATACACGCTCTGACACATCCAGTCAGTGCTCTACTGAACGCGCCGGCCAGGCTGGGAAAAAAAATGAAATAATGTCATGGCAACGCGTCAGAGGGGAAGCGTTCAAGAAAAATAATAATAATAATCTCGATGAGCGGTTTCTCTCTGGTCAAACCAGACACCATTAACAGAGTATTTAGCACTACGTGTCTCCTTCAGTTTAATTGAATGTAGACAGGCTGTAATAATGGCCTCCGTTCCCCTCCTGGATAGGATGGGTTTCCTTTATCTCTCGGGCTCTGGGCTGGCTTTATTTAATATAGTCATTTCAAAACACCTAAACTAGTTAAGACCACTTTGGTATGAGTTTGGCAGGCTTTCTGCTAGGCCCCTGCTCCCCATAACCCTGGGGAGGCAGTATGTGTCTCTGTATTTGAGACATTGGTCAAGTCGCTCCTCTAGAGTAGGATGATGTAGTACTCCCCTAGTTAACAGGATGTTTCTATAGAGTGCTTAGTAACGGGCTAGCTCTCCTAACTATATGTATCAGGCCTCCTCTCCTTTTAGAGTCATCCTGCTGAGGTCTCCATATGTACAGTTAGACTGTTTTCTGTTTATAGCGTGTGCCAGGCCTCCTCTCCTTCAAGAGTCATCCTGTTGAGGCCTCCATGATAACAGAATTTCAGGTGGAGCTTGAGAAGTGGCCCCTCTCTCTCTGAGGAGGTGCAATCAGGCCCTCCGCTCCCTGAGCTCTGATGATCGTCAAGTAAGCTCTCCAAAATATGTGTCAGGCTTCCTCTCCTTCGAGAGTCATCCTGCTGAGGCCTCTAAATATACAGCTCATTAGAGTGCCGAGGGAGAGCACCTAGGCCCCTCGCTCCCTGAGCGCTGTAGCGGTACTCTAGCATGTGTCAGGCCTCCTCTTCTTCGAGAGTCATCCTGCTGAGGCTTCCATGCAAACAGCATTCTGATTGGAGCTTGAGAAGTGGCCCCTTTCTCTATGAGGAGGTGCTTTAGGCCCTTCATTCCCTGAGCTTGTGTGATTAAGTTAGCACCTATATATATGTCAGACCTCCTCCCATCCTGCGTAGGCCTCCATGTTTAAAGCTAGGCTATGCTATCTGTTCTCAGCATGTATCAGGCCTCCTCTCTTTCGAGAGTCATCCTACTGAGGCTTCCATGCATACAGCATTTCAGGTAGAGCTTGAGAAGTGGTCCCTCTCTCTCTGAAGAGGTGCTTTAGGCCCTTCGCTCCGGTGATTGTTGAGCTAGCTATCTTAAAATACGTATATCGGTCCACCTACTGTAGCATGTGTCAGGCCTCCTCTCTTTCGAGAGTTATCCTGCTGAGGCTTCCATGCATACATCATTTCAGGTAGAGCTTGAGAAGTGGTCCCTCTCTCTCTGAGGAGGTGATTTTGGCCCTTCGCTCCCTCAGCTCCGATGATCGTTGAGCTAGCTCTCCTAAATATTTGTCAGGCCTCCTCTCTTTCGAGAGTCATCCTGCTGGGGCCTCAATATATGCAGACTTTGCAGGCAGTTTGGTGGAGCGCGGAAGGAGTTCTTTCTCATTTCTTGAGTAGTTGTTAGACCCCTCGCTCCCTGACCTCTGGTGGTAGTCGAGCTCTCTCTTAACTTCTATTACATGGAGAAGTTTTAGAAGTGGCCCCTTCGTCTCTGAGGAGGTGCTTTAGGTATTTAGCTCCCTGAGCTCTGATGATCTTCGAGCTACCTCTCCGAAATATATGCATCAGGCTTCTTCTATGGGAGTCATCCTGTTGAGGCCTCCATATATACAGCTCGGTAGAGTGTGGAGGGAGAACACCTAGGTTCCTCGCTCACTGAGCGCTGGAGCGGTACTCTAGCATGTGTCAGGCCTCCTCTCCTTCGAGAGTCATCCTGCTGAGGCTTCCATGCAAACAGCATTCTAAGTGGAGCTTGAGAAGAGGCCTCCCTCTATCTGAGGAGGTACTTTAGGCACTACGATCCCTGAGCTCCGATGATCGTTGAATTAGCTCTCCTAAAATGTGTCAGGCCTCCTCTCCTCCGAGAGTCATCCTGCTGAGGTCTCCATTCATATAGATGTTGCAGATGGAGCTTGAAGTGGCCCCTCTCTCTATGAAAGTTGCTTTAGGCCCTTCGCTCCCTGAGCTCTGCTAGCATGTGTCAGGTCTCCTCTCCTTTGAGAGTAATCCTGCTGAGGCCTCCATGCAAAAAGCTTTGTAGGTGGTAGTAAGGGGCCGTCTCACTAACAGAGAGTGTTTATGCCCCTTACTACCTGCGTGCTGCATCATAGCTTTATTCAACCTATGAGGAAAAGCTCTAGACCACAGTGGTGTAAGTGTGGCAGGCCTCCTCTAACCTCAGAGTCATCCTGCTGAGGCCTCTGCTTCCCATAGCACCATAAAGCAGACCCCCCTCTGTAGGTTGTGCTGTGGTTCCCATGCTCTTGAGCTGGCAAGCTCTCTGTGTGATTCACAGAGTTCCCACACTTAGGATGAAGCTCGGGCATTGGCCGTAGGGAGTAGTGCTACAGTTGGCCTGACGTCTAAGCAGTAGGGGGCTTTAACTTTGCGTTAATGTGTTTTTGCTTGTAGCCATAGTTGCTGAAGCATCCCCTCGGCATGGCAGCGTGGGTATCTCGTTCCCCATAGCGCTTGACGAAGTTCGAAGTTCCCTTCAAAAGGGAACGTCTCAGGTTACGACTGTAACCTATGTTCCCTGAGAACAGGGAACGAGACACTGCATCTCGTCGCCATGCCGCTGGTCTGCTTTTACAGTCCCTTCAGATGAAGAAGTGGATGACATGTTGTCTAGGCGCTCCTCTTATACTTCCTGGTTGCACTAGAGCATGACGTCATGGCCGACACCGACCAATAGGATTGACGTGATTCTACAGCAATTCAGTCATCAGTCACGCTGAGGGGTTTCCCCATAGCGCTTGACGCAGTGTCTCGTTCCATGTTCTCAGGGAACATAGCCTGGTTATAGTCGTAACCTGTTTGTTCATATATCAATCATCTGATTTAAATAACCCCCCCCCCCCAAAAAAAAAAAAAACTGTGATTTTTTTCTACTGACTGTTTACCGTATTTCTTTTTATTTTATGGAGTGAGAAAACGAGATATTCAAAAAACCCTCTGTAAAAACCTATAACTCTAACATAAAAATTAAATCAGAATTTTTAACACAACTTGTTCAAATTTATATGTTTTGTAATAATTTATGTAAATGAGTGCATTTTCAATTAGATAAGGCCCCATTTGCATTTTTAAACATTACTGACGAAGTATGGTTGTATCTATTAGTTAAAATTTGTATTGTTCTCCTGCAGTTTCTTGCCTTCATCATTTACTGAAAATGTTCTCCTCAAAAGTTGTATGTGCTTTGGCAAACATTCAAACTGATGTGTTGCAAGGTCTGCATTTGCCCTCAGAGGGATTGGTTGTATAAAATAAAGCAACTTGCAATCTGAACAAAAACCTGACATTTTGTGTTTCACAGAAGAAAGAAAGTCAAACAGGTTTGGAAGGACAGTAAATGGTGACAATTTTCATTGTGGGTTTAACTTTTCCTTTTAAATACAGGCTGTATGCCTTATCATTATATTTACAAAGTGAGTGTATAAGTAAGTACACAAGTTTACATCTGCACGGGTGCACAAGGAGCCATCTTAAGAGACAGTAAATATGAATAGTGTTAAACGGTCTGACTCACCTCTGAGCGCAGGCAGGAGTGAGTGTTCCTTCTTGCTATCGCATTTGTTGCACTCACTGAAGTACAGCAGCAGGAAGACGTCCACTAGCACCCAGACCAGAGAGGTGGTCAGCACCACCTTACAGTACACAAAGCGTCTCATGAGCCCCTGTTGGCGTCAGGACCCCACAGATGGGCAGACGAGAGGGACACAGGAGATGGGGCAGGGGGAGTTGTGACAGGACACACGCTGAGACGTCATCCCACTGGAAGAAGACAAGAAATGCATAAATATTAGGATTGAAATCCTTCTTTGCAACACATTTATCATTTAGCCTTTAGAAATGATACATAGCAAGACGATATGAAAAATGGTCAGCATGCCTGGCGCATAGTCTAAAAGGGTCGGTCCTAATCTCTTAATGAGTAATGGGTGTGTTTTGCGTGCAACATATAATAAACCAATCAGAGTAAACCCCATTCCCTTTAAACGCCAGTTGTGCTCACGCCATGGCGGATTGCTATTTACATGACGGAATTTGCAAGCGGAAAGACGCTTCTCCAGATCGCAAATGGTTCTGCTCGTGCGTGAGGTTAAAGCGCGCCATCTACGGGAAAAGCCAGATTCCACAAAATATTTATAAATATTTACTGGAAACAGTACACTTACTCCAGACTGTATAACACAGTGAATCCATATAGAATCCATTCTATATATGCACAACCTGACAATGAAAGCTGCAAAAAGTTAAAAGTGAAAGCTATCAGAAAACAAATAATTCCAGGTTTACAAACTGTTTTCTGTCAGGACTCCAGTATGGACAGCTTCATTGATTAGATAGGCCTATAATTAGTTATTGGGCCATATTCACAAAGAGTTATAAGGCTAAAAGTAGGTCCTAACTGGTCAATTTAAGAGCAACTCCTAAAAATAATGGGCATGTCACTCCAAATTTTAGGACTAATTTTTTTCACCAAGAGTAATTCACAAAGCATTTAAGCCTTAAAAGTAGCACCTAAGTCTGGGTCAGTGCAGACCGCCACCTCTCGCAGTCGTCCAGGGTCTGCGACACAAGCGGGAATACTGCATTAATCTGCATACAAATCCTCTCCCATGTCTCACGCTTAGTTTTGCTTGATATCCCAGTGCCGAAATTCCTGTTTATTATGTGTTTTTTTTTTTTTTTTTTTTAAACACCAACTGGGCCAGCAGCAGTAACCGATTCTGCGTCCAGTTGGGCTTTCTTTTCCGTTTTGGCGAGTTCATAATTCATCGTCATTCAGCTATTACATTTCCTTGCTTTAAGTAGGCTAATAGGATGTCAATTAACCAAGCAAGTGTTAATGCAAGTGTCGTTTTTCATTATTAGGCAAGAGGCGGTTTAGGCTACCATTTAATTGAATGGTTTAGGTTTAGGATTTAATTTAATTGAATTCATGACTTTTCTCTCTCTCTCTCAGCCTTTTTAGAATTATACTTCACTGGAGCCTGCACAAACATGTCATTATATGCATTTCGATGACATTACTATTATTATTTTGTGTAGGACACAGACATATTTAGATGTCGTAATTCCCATAGACAGTAAATAAAAAAGGGCACAGCGACCCCATTGATTTTAACTGAGAAGACTGAAGCCCGATTATTGCACTTCCAGTCAACTGCGCAGGCTCAAACTGAGCTTGATGACAGAATGACAGTTGAAAATCTTCTAGTAGCCGTGTCAAGACAAATCTGAATTGCTTAATTCCTCAAAAACATTGTTGAAATATTTTGTCCCGTTGCTTTTATGGACTCTCTATCTATGGGCTTCTCCCTTGACTTTGTGCCTCCATGTCCCCCTGATTGCCTCATAGACAGTAAAAGATTGTCTGCGAGCTTCTCCTCCTGTCTATACGGTAATGTCTCTATTGTGCAACAGCGAGTTGCATGGTTATGACGCAATCGTTAGCCAATTTTTACAAAAACGGCTTCTACGGGGCCCTAACCTAAGATACAAAGTAATGGAGCCTTTTATACATTTGTGTCTTGTTTGTTTGGAAAGAAATAATGGACAAATTAAGTCTTTGGACGCCTCAGATGTGAAGTTATTCGCTGTCAAAGTGATGCCAAAATGAGTGGGAATCAATGGGATGTTAACAGCAGCTGAAGTTCTGCTACAATGGCGGCTCAACTTCCGGCTGATGGATTACCCCCATGCATGGGCGTAATTTGAGGGGGGGTTAGGGGGGTTATGACCCCCTCAAAAATCAGACTCAGCTATATAACCCCCCCCAATATCATCACATCATTCAGATTAGAATGAATATGAAATATTCTGAATTAATATTAAATACATTTGCCAGCAAGAAAGATAGTATCATATTTTAAATAATCTCTAATGTACCCCCCGCCCACCGCATCGACTTGGTATTACCCAACCCGCTTTCTCTACCAAGTTTGTTTACTATGTTGCACAGTCGCTAGGATGAATGGTTTGAGGAAATAGCTGGCGGTGCATTCTAACGGATAGAAAGATGGAAAGGACATTGAAAGGCATCCAGACAACGATTTTTTAATTGTTGGTCAGCTCCAAAAAAAGGAAAAATCCTGACCAAACGGAGGTACCCCATTTAGCTGTTTCTCAAAGTGTGGCGCGTGGGCGCGGCCTACTGTTGGGGAATAGAGACGAGTGGGGCACGACAAACAGGTTTTTTTTGTGCCCATCTTTTTAATTCCTTTATTTATTGACCATACTCTCAAAACAAAACAAAGACACATTTAAATGTAAGCCTTACTTAACCTTTTCACACGTAAGTTTAAAAGTTTTTCAAGGTGACCGTTATTGAAGTATCATTTCGTAGTATCATTTTATGGTTCCCATGGAGACGCGTCCTTCATTGCTTGTCACACCGCAGCCACAACAGCTGAATGACTGATGATCTGCTTTTATTTAAATTTTTTTATTCAGAATTTCACAATTTGCTAGCGATATTAAGATCTGATATTCCGATTGTCAAATATGTGCAAGTGGATGTGTTTTGTTGTTGTTGAAACATCTTTGCTGTAGGCTATGCGCAACGTATTTTAGGTATCTTATGTACATTATTAGGATTTCGCCACCTTCAGCTCAATTTGATATTATTATTATTATGATTTTATTTTTTGTTCTTTTTGCATGGAGTTTGCAAAGTGACAGAATGAATCATAGCACAACTAACGTTAGTCCACACTTGTATTTTCTCAGTTTCTGAATTTTATGTTATTAGAGGCTATATAAATGCAAACACAATTTTTCCATCTACTTTTGAGTTGTATTTCATGCAAAGTGATAATATAATTGCACTTTCTTTTTTCTCTGTATGTTTTTGGTTTTAATGCTGTTATTGGATGCTAAGTTTTTACAATGTGATGTTAATAAAATAAATTTTAACAGTTAAACTTAAAGCCTAGTTTCTTAACATTTTGTTGGGTTGATTGGGGACAGGTGGGGCTCGGAACCCTTTCCTACCTAAGAAGTGGGGAATAAAAGTATATCACAATGTATTTCTAATACAGGAATGGCAAATTAGCACGTTACCATTTACAAAAGAAAATGATTAAATAAATAAATAAATTAATAAATATGGCGCGAGTTTAACCCCCCCCAATGGTAGACCCAAAGTTACGCCCTTGCCCCCATGGTAATTCCATGATTTGTTGCATCTGTGTTATGTTCCGCATGATGGACCTGTCATCTAACATCCAATCACCGTGATCATTGCGAGGAAGCTTGTGCATGAGAATTGACGTCATCCATAGCAACGAAGACTCACTCAGTTTAGGAGTTGTAATTTTTCCTTACAAAGAGTTGTGAATAACTTTTAAGAGAAAACTTGGTAACACTTTACAGTACGGGTGCACTAATAAGCATTAATTCATGCTTAACTAATGCACAGATAATACTGAATTGATGTGTAACTAATGATTATCTAAGCTATTCATTAATGATTACCACATTAGGAACTAATTAAGAGTCTGTAAGGTTAATGTATTAGTGCATGCATGAATTATTATTCATTAAATATGTAATTGTGGATTAATTCCCTAATTAATTCCATTTATTTAACTAATAGTGTTAATTGATGTTAATTACCAGAATGAGCCAACGCCTTGTATTTCAACTTCAAGAGGTACACTAATATGCATTAATACATGATTAATTACTTCATTGTTAGTGCAAATTAATGCGCAAATTTACTACAACTTCTAAATGACTAGTTAATAATGATATGCCTTAACAAGTAAAGTCATAACATAATGATACCTTTGCAAATCATTAGCTAATGATTAATTAATGCAGACAACTGGAAGTTGAAGTGCATAGCTTTGACTAATTGTGCTAATTAACACATTAATTTACACTATTAGTTAATAAAATATGTTATTAAGGAATTAATACACAATGACACATTGAATTAATAGCAATTCATGTATTACTTAATCTATTAATCATACAGACTCTTTATTAGTTGCTGATGCAGTAATCATTCATTAATGGTTTAGTTCTTCATGATTTATACATTAACTTATGATTATCTGTGCATTAGTTAAGCATGAATTAATGCATATTAGTGCACCCGTATTATAAAGTGTTACCAAAAACTCATAGCTAAAATATTTTAGTGTGATTTAGGAGTACTCCTAGTGGTGAGATAAAATTGTCCTAGTGGTAAGATAAAAGAATACGGACCCTTGGTAAACAAATCACATTTTCACAAGTTTGAAAATTAATAAAAGAATAGAGATGAAATTGAACCAGTTTTCTTTTAAATGTTTCAATTGTTTGTTTTCTTCCAATGTTTCAGTTAACTAGCAGACTGGTATAAACTCTAAAAACTCAACTGTGGTGTACAGTTACCTCAACGCTATTACCATTAGTATCCTGAAACTCAAAACCCAAAGAAAGCATTGATTAGATCTTAATTAAGAGGCTTTCACTTCACATTGGGCCTTTGGAAGTCTGAGAGTCACAGCTTGGTAGCAAGCGAGACCTTGTGACTATTTTAGCTCTGCAAATTTCTACAGATTGTTTCAATTTATTAAAATAACAACTATGACTGCATAAAGGTTAAAAAGCACAGAACTGCAACACAATGAAAGTATGATAAAACAGCACAGTGAGATCATTTGGAGATATAAAAAGCAGTTTATGACACAGGACTACAAAGGTCACCAAGTGAGCATGTCTCGGAGCTTAGTTAACTCACTAATCCTCTGTTCCTTTAGCTTTTATTTCCTTTTACAAATCACTCACACGAAAATCAGTTCCAGTGGCAGAGAATGTGCTTGAGTTCTTGAGTCAGCAGCTTTCACTTCAAATTAAAGACAAACACAATTTTTCCTTAAGGCGTTTTTTCATGAAGGGATGGTGGCCTGCATATACTGTATCCACATACATCTGCTAATCAGATGACTAACACACACACACACACACCTGTTTAGACTCACAGTAAGTGATGCCATCAGATGCCCAAGGCAACATTTGAGAATAATTTCTCTCTCTCTCAGTAAATGACAGCTGGGGAATTCAACATAAAATAAATAAGTATCCAAAAAGCTCTTTAAATATTAATTTTAATACCTTCTGACAAATATTATTCTTTTACTGTGTTTACTAAAGATCATTTAAGCTCGTGTCAAGTTGACTGGAGCAACTGCATTTATTCTGTCCACGCCCACCAGTAGGCTAATAACCCCTCACAACCCGAATATTATAATGTGTCAGTTAGTTATGCATTGCAAAACTCAAAATTGGTTTGACAAGAAATGTCAAAACAATCACAAACTAAAATAATGCCGATGACGTGATCGTTTTAAAATATGTTTGGGTCACAAGCTGCCAAAAAAGGTAAGTTTTAATGACATGAAATGCTCAGGTTTTAGCTATTAAATAAATAAATAAAAGCTGTTGGTTGGTTTCCACTCGGACATAACGATGACTGCTATACAAGTTAAGATTTTGTTTCCGTATAGCCTGGTTTTGCATTGATTCGTGAATGCTGAAATGTCCACTCAATATTTAAGGTAGTTATTTACATGTAAGGCAGGCAATGACTCTTCTGTACTTACTGAATAAAGGCTGAATGACACCTTGAGCTCCCGACGACCAGCCAACAACGTGTTGCGTCCGTTTCCTATAATTTATAATTCCAACACGATTTCATGTGTAGGCTATCTCTTGATGCGAGCAATGACATATTCCCAATAACAAAATAATGAATGAGTAATTAAACGAATAACAGGCCGGATTTATTTGGCCAAATACACCTCGAGCTGCCCCTTACAGTACTGTCTGTGTGACAAATGATGCTGCATGCATTCTGTCCACTGCATCACTGGCCAGATGTCATTCCTGGAATCAGATGAGGATGAGGATGCTGGAGCTATATGTCCTGCACCAGGTCTCAGGTTGTGTCCTCATCTGAAAACAACATTTGCTTGTCCTTAGAAATGCTTTCATATTATGTCGGGATCGTTCCGGTCGGGGTATTGGATTTAGGATGACTGGAGACAAGAGGCGTGTCCTTCTCAAAACACCAATGCGCAAGTGCGCCGAGGACATCTGGTAGATGTAGGCTATCTCTAATGGCAGATCTCTCGTTGAAAAAAAAAAATCATAATAATTCATCAGGCTATTTTTTTACTGCTGCAAACTCATGCCTTCTTCACACGATTAAACAAAAGGGTAACCAGTATTTAATTAGAACCTGTAGTAGTAATTAATCCATTATACCCATTCCCATGTGTTATTAAAATACAATTAATAAGTATGATACATAGTAATTTGTTACATTACCTTTTTTCACGAGGACACGATCACAAGTGATCATAAGAAGCGATACATAACAATTTTTTTCATATAGCCTAAAAATGATTACAATATTTTTACATGATTTTTTTACATAATTATTAAAACAGAGATATTTGCAATTTGCTATCCATCCATGGTTCACAAATTTGCTGCTGTCCACAGTAACATTTACAGACACAGCAGCGACACCTGCTGTACGCAGTAGAAACTAGACGCAGTGGATATTATTTAAAAAAATGTCCAACTTACCCTGTTCTGCCTATATGCAATATTTCAACACAAACACACACACACACACACACACACTCACAAAAAAAAAAAAAAAAAAAAAAAAGTTGTGTTTTATGGTTGTGAATGTGAACTGTCTGCTGCCTGATCGGAACCTACAAATTAGTCACTGCAGAATTCTTTTTGTTGTTGCTGTTGCTGTTGTTGTTGATGTTTCTTGTCAAAATCTTTACAATTAAAACAAATATAAATTTACAAATAATTATAACAAAATACAGAACTGCATTATGATTTCTTAATTCAGAATATGATCCCGCACCCCGACAAGTAAGAGGGACAAGGGATTTAAAATGTACATTTCTTCGTAGGGCTGCACGATTTGGGCCAAAAAGATAATTTATTCGTGATCTCAATATTGATCAAAATAATTGTGATTATCACGATTATTTGTTGATTTTAACCAAAACTAATTTTATTGTCACATAGGCTAATTATAACTCCATTCACATCCATATTGTGCTACATTCCTGCTAATGTACAACTATGTACAACTATGTGCATTAAAATAAAACAGGTGCTCTCATTCACCAAAATTCAGTGCATCTCTTTAAAGAATAAATAAAAATAAAGAAAACAATAAATAGAAAACAATAAATAAAATGTAGCAAAACTTCAACAGGGCACTATTTTACATTTTACATTGTGTAAATATATTTTAGGAAGTAAAATATAAATTTGCATTGTACCTGCATAGGAAATTCTAAGTTAGAATTTCCCCTAAGATTCCTAGCGCTTAAAAGGGCTCCTAAGGCGAGATCTGCTAAGAGCAGGGAAGAGGGCTTTTAGTGGCTTAAGAGTTCTCCTAAGCAGCTGCACAAAATTTCTTTTTTCCTTTTTTTCTCCATTTTCTGTGTTTGAAGGATATTTGTTAACAAGCCTTCATAAATAGACCAGCCAGCAATCACAGACATTGATAAAAGCTGAGCCGTGTTACCATCGTTAAGACCACACTGAGTTGCAACGTTGCAATTTCTACTTCATTAAGGACAGCCCCTTGAGATAGGCCATCTTGTTTTCAATGGGGTCCATATAGGAGTGAAAGTACAAAATGTGCCTGCTAGGATATTAATATGAGCAAATAAGACACGAATCAGTATTTGAACAGGGTGTAATGAGCTTAAGTGTTCACATAGATTCTAATGTTAGGCTATAACCTACAGCTTACTATTCATTTTCCAGATATTTTCTTGAATGTGAAATATTATTTACAATTACAGTCTGCATAAGATTAGACTGTATAATTATGTTCATTGATTTGAGGGTACATCCTTTGCTCATTATCATCAAAAGTTCATTTTCATCAAACTTGTAGGATCGACCATCACGAATCATGAAATGATGAAATGATGATACCTAGCAACGGGGTCAACCACACCTCCTCACTAAGATAGGATTTTCCATCCATTCCTTGCTCAGAGTTCATTGAAAATGTTCTGGAATCATTTCTAAGCTAAAACTCCTGGCAAGGAATTTTTAGGTTAAGTTAGGAGCTCTCTGAGAGGATTCTCAGAATCGGATACGGGCCCAGGATTCAGGAGAGGTGGTCGTCAGGGCAATGTGCTACAGGTCGCTGACGAAAAAAGAGAAACCTCACAGCTTGAGTGTATGGTGATACTAGTTATGGATAAGAGAGGATAAGATAAGATAATGTAAGAAAATGAGATATTGTAAGAAGATGAGATAAGATAAAAGTTTGCTTATCAGCCAAATAACCCAGCATTTTTGATTAGCAATGTTTTAATGTAGTAGTGCTACATGTTTACTATGCATTGCTTGTTCCCACTGGGTTTTGCTTGCATTAGTTCTGTTAGCAGGTGGGGAATCAGCTAGAGTAAAGTTTAGTGAATTGACGATGGTGACTAGAAACACTAATGTACAGTACGAGTAAGCAGGTTACCTATAATAATACATTTTAATTTGTAATACCCTTTTCTTAAACCCAAAGCGCTACAGCAAAATAAACAGAAACAACAAAGGGCAGTACAACAATTAAAGAAAAACAGCCTTAAATAAATGTGTCTTAATCAGCTTTTTATAGTGATACAATATGGGTGGATTTCTAATGGTAGGAGGAAAGCATGTTCCATAATTTTGGGGCTTTGTCATAGATCGCTCTTCAACACCTCTCCCAAGTTATCAAAGATCACAGTCTCCAGAATACTGAACTACATTTCCCATCTATCCTCCTCTCAGTCTGAGTCCCATCCCTGATTACCTGCACAGGTGCAGCCACTTATCTCCTGTATATCCACAAGTTTCCGAGGGGCGCTCCTGTAAAAAATAAAGTGGGTGAAACTTCCGGTGAGGCGGCGGAAGTAGCATTCCAATGGTATTTTGTGTGTTAGTTAGCCAAGAGGCTAGCTGTTTTTCGGAGAATTATTTTACTATTTAAAGACGCAAATCTTTATGAGAGATGTCGTTACGGAACTCAGGGACAACATGTGCTGTTCGCGGTTGTATGTATAACCGGACTAAACTAATTTAGTGGCTTAAACGGGATTGTTTTGAACATAAGCTGAAAACGAAATCAGAGTGATTCTGCCAACGACTGTAGTTTCCATCACCTCCCAAAAGACGACGAATCTTCCTGTGTACATTTGTTTAAATTCTTAATGTTCTATAAACTCTATCAGCATGTTATTGGCTGTTCTCTACTGATGTTACACCTAAACTCAGGATCAAAGCCTGTGTTGACAGAATACCAAATGTGCCAGTTAATGTATTCAAGTAGCACATTCATTTATAATTTTGAATAAACTCCAAAGCACAATGACTAAGTGTGTATTTTTTATTTTAATTGTTTGTCAGCTTGCACAACTGTCTGTCACCATGCCTTGATGAGTATTGATTATTAATAATGTTATTATAATACTCCCAATCAACTACTGCAGAGGGTAAAGGTACTGTTATTTCACCCTTTTTAATTTCGTTGAGGTTGTGTTCCCACATCGTTGGCTAGTTTGGATCGCTTTAACTTGAATGACTGTCAACTGTTGAATGAACGAGTGTCAAGCATGTCAAATCGGCTTTGTTTACTTCCAACCGGAAGTCGCGCCCACTTTTGACGCAAGGCCTCATGGGGCGTAGGAAACTTGTGGATAAGCTGCTTGCTTGCATGGCTCCCTGCGAAGTCTTGTATCAGCCCCGGCATACACTTCTGAGCAGTCTACGTCCTATGATCTTTCCTGGTTTTCCTGATGCTTGTCTACACCTCTGGTCTACGAGTTATTGTCTGCTGCCTGCCCCGACCCCAGCCTGGTATTGACTCTGAGTTTGGATTTGCCCTTTAATCCTGTTTTCACTGATATTTCTCTGTGTGCATTCAGTAAATAAAGCCACTGCAAATGGATCCGCACGCCTCTGACTCATTGTTACAGGCTTTGTATGAAAATGCACCTTTTCCCCATGGTCTTAAGCTTACATGAAGGCTGATGTAGTAAGAGCGAATTACCTAGCTGGTCCCACTGGTTGAATGTTTTCTTGCTTATTGTTTTGATCCTTCAATTAAGCTACAGTCTGGAGTGAAAGGTATTACTACTAAAATACAAGTGGAAAATAATATGGCATAAGATTCAGCTCATTAATCCAACAAATATCTTAGAATATTGTTTTATCTCCTAATTTCTAAGGGGATTCAACATCAGGAGTGGTCTGCTGGTCTAAAAAAATTAGTCACAATGCAAGACTGTATCTTAAAGGAAAGCAATGAGTATCCTAAAAGAATGACTGCTATGATACATTGTGACTTACTATGACATTCTGACATTGCAGGTGGTGCTTAAAGACAGCAAGCCTGTAGAGCTGATTCACCATATAATGTTCTTGCATTGCTGGAGCTGCGCTGTGCAACCACTGTGTTGCTCTTTGTACCAGACAGCCCTACTCACAGCTGAAGGTGCCTGTAGTCCCCCCCCCCCTCCCCGTGCTAATCTGTACTGAGGGAGAACAGCAATGGCACAAACCTAGGACTTTGGCAAGTCAACCAAAAGCATATAACTAATTACTGTTTTGTAGTTGTTATGTTGTTTTTCTGGAGATTTGCTTAAAGTATGTCTTGCACACACTACAGAGTATAAAACCAGGCCAAGTGGATAAAATGGCTGTGCTGTCTGCTAAACCGAAGAGCCGCCCTAAAGCAACAGCAGACGGTATAAGGTAAAAGCAAGCAATATTGTATCAATACATGGGTATTTTGATTTCAGGTCTATAAGCCATCGCGCCTTTCCACTCATACATGTTTTACACTGCACTTTGTAGGAGCACGCTTTACAAAGGCCTCTGTGGGAATCTACCTGATCTTTCCGTCCTTCGGGTGAATTTTCCCTCTCACTGCATGAAAAGTGGGATTTTCGTCAGTAAGCGGCACTGTAGATTGTCGTGGAAGTTCAGGTTTACGACTGCACACGGCAATTTACAGGTAACACTCAAAACTGCCGTGA